GCTGGTGTGCTGGGGGAGGGGCTTGTAGTGTAGAAAGCGTGCTGGTTGGCTAGCTGGCTGTCTGTCTTCTGTGCCCCCCTGTCCCCCCTTCTCCACCCCCAGGCAGGTCCCTTCGGGGTCCGGGTACCCCCCAGCAGCCTGGCTAGCTCCGGGCAGGCCTGGCCCTGCTTGACCGACCTGGTCCATCCCATGTACTCCTAGCCACTTCCCAAAATGGACGCCGCCCCCCCTTTGTGGGCAGCCTCTTCCCCTCTCCCCGGCCTCAGTCTCCCCTGCTGCAGTCCGAGCCCATTGCTCCTCTGTTAGCCTCAGAGAGCGGCTGTTGCATGGGCTGCGCCCAGGCCCTGCTGTGCCTTTTCTGGCCAGCCTCGCACTCGGCTCCTCCTGCCCCCCCACCCTGGTCCCGTGGCACCCAGGCACCCTGCTCCCCCCACCCCGGGCACTCCAGGGCCTGGCACCGTGCAGGCAGTGCTAGGGCACAAGCCTTCCCCCTGCCCGGCTGAGAGGGGAGAGCATGGAGACGGTGGGCCGTGGCTGGGTACGCGGCCCCCCGTCCAGGAGCACTACCGGGCTTGGCAGGGCGCTGCAGCTGGTGCTGGGGCAGCGGTGGCAGCGGTGCCCGCAGGCCGGGGGGTCAGGAGCACATTGACCGTGTCCCCTTCTCTCTCTCTCCTGCCCACGCTGCGCCCGTAGCTTTACCTTTCTGCCATGTAAGTAACTCAGCCGGGTCCGGCGGGTCGTAGAGCAGCGATGTGGGGCATTTGGGAGGGTGCAGCCTGCAGCTGCCCCTTGCACCCGGGGGCAGGCTGGCTCCCTGCCCTCTCTCCCGGGCACCAACGGCACCTATGCCCTGGGGTCTGCCCGGCCTCTTCCCGCACCGGGGGAGCCCCTAAATCTCCTGGACCTCACAGGGATGGTGAGGGCATCCATGGTAGTAGCCGTGGGGCGGCAGGGGAGCACTGGGGGTCCCAGGCTGTGGGGTTTTGGGGGGGCTGGTGGCATTGCAAGGCATGGGGCTGTTTTCATGGCAATCAGGGTGCAGAGGGCTGTCTATGGAGCAGGGGCCGGGCCAGTGCTCTCTGCACCTATGGGGCTGGGGGGACTGGGGTACCTGCCCAGGGGGGCAAGTTGTACTGGGGTGCCAGGGCGGTGCTGTATGGGGGTGGCAGCTCGGTGCGCGGGCGGAGCGGGGCCGTGGGTTTCCCCACGAGGCTGGAGGAGATGCCAAGGTCCATGTGCCTGGAAAGCGACTGGGGTGTTGGAGAGGCTCAGGGGGGCAGCGGTGCTGGGGTTGTGGCCCCCCACCCCTCCGGGAACGGGGCCTGCGGGTGACCCCTGCCGCTGGGGCGGTGGCAGCAGCTGGCTGCACATCTGGCGCACGGGGTCCTTGGCACTTGCAAACGGGACTCACACCCAGGGTCCAATTTCCAGGGGGGAAACAAAAGGCTGGTGCCAGGGGACGGGGTCCGTGCCTTCCATGTGCCCGCACGGGCCCTGGGCCGTGCCAGCCTCCCTGGTGCTGGGGGCCTGGAGCAGATGGTCCCCGCCAGCTGCTGGCCTGAGTGCGAGGGGGTGGCATCGCCGGTGGGGTCACATCCTGGGGTGGGCACGGTGCCCTTGCAGGCCTTGGCGGTGCCAGCGTGAGCCCTGTGCCCCGTGTGTGTCTGGGGGTGGGGGCTGTAGCACACCTGCAGCCCCCGATGCCACTGCAGGGAGCTCCCTGCCACGGCTCGGTGCCAGATGTGGGCACTGGGGGTACGCCCAAAGCAGGGGTGCCACGCAGGCCCCCTGGGACCCCCCGTCTAACACCCGTGCTCTGCCCGCAGTTACGAGAAGCGGCTGTACTGAAGACGGGCCCTGGAGCAGCGCCCA